CCCGTGTGTCGGGAACACCTTTCCCAGGGGTGGGCTTTGGATATTGTCCCACCGGGGCTCCCCTCGCTCTCTGAGGGGTGGAGGTGGCTCAAGCATTGTCTTATTGTCTATATGTATCAGCAATAGTGGGATCGCCTCAAGCTGTGCCAGGGGAGGTTCAGGTTTGACATTAGAAGGAATTTCTTCCTGGAAAGGGCTGTCAGGCACTGAAGGGGCTGCCCTGGGAGGTGGTGGAGTTCCCATCCCTGGAGGTGTTCACGGAATGACTGGATGTGGCACTCAGTGCTCTGGTCTGGGTGGCAAAGTGGTGTTTGATCAAAGCTTGGACTAGATGATCTTGGAGGTCTTTTCCAACCTCAGGTATTTTGCGATTCTGTAATTTAATGTGCCCAGCACAGTTAGACTGGGTGTTAAACTTACATCGGTGAAAAATTTCATAGGAATGTACAATCACAGAATGGTTTGAGTTGAAAGAGACCATAAAAATCACCTCATTCCAAACCCTTGCCATGGGCAGGGACACCTTTCACTAGACCAGGTTGCTCAGAGCTGCATCCAACCTGGCCTTGAACACTTCCAGTGATCAACTGCTTTCTTAGGAATATATTGTAAGTACTCAAAAAATGCTTTCTAATTTCTCTTTCTAGGTGACCAGGAGGCTAGAGCTAAGGCTCACACCTTTGACTTTCCCATCCCTTCAAAACATGTTGATAAAGCCATAAAACGAAAGAAGAAAAAGGTATAAATTGGGGGAGCTGAATTAGTTGCCTTGGCATTTGAGAAAACTGCTTCCTGTTTGTTCTGTGTGTGAGAGCGCATAAGGGAGATTGAAAGATGGAATTGGTAGCCTGTTACTGAAATCCTTACTTACAGAAAAGAAAAAATGGTATTATTTTCCCTCTCTGGAGGCTTTAAAATCCTGGCTCTTATTCAATAAAGCACTTAAGTGTGCGCTTACCTTGAAAAATGAGAGTACGCTGTTGACTTAAAGCCTGTACTGAAATGCTTTGCTGGATTTGGGCCAGGGCACTGCACACCTTGTGGGTGAAACCCAGCAGGAAAAAGCTCTGCAGCTCTTCTTCTCATGTTTTAAACAAAGAACTCCCACAGGTTACAAATAAGTGAAGGCAGGAATCAGAGGTATTAACACCATCCTTGTAGCAATGCAAAATTGCTTTCTGCTTCACAGATGTATTCCTGTTCCTGTTCATTAGTTTTTCAAATGCTTGAAATTTTGAAAGGGACATTTATTAAACAGTAACTTGTTATGAGATTTTGTAATGTGTGAAGTACAAGTAATCAGCCAGACTGGAATAGAGTAATGTCATAGATACTTGATTTGAAAACAGTAAAATGCTACTGACTGCAGAGGAACAGCTAATAACATCCTAGAATATCACTCTGCTGGTACATCTAATAGTCTTCAAAAAGAATGAGGAATATGTGATATGTTTTAGCAATAAATATCCACGAGAAAGGAATTATCTTTAAACTAGTTTCACAAATGGGGTCGAGAAAAAGTCCAAACTTCAGTGTATCAACAGCTATTTCTGTTTGTTAGGCCACCTCTGTCTGGGTGCCTTTATCAACAGTTCCAATTTAATCTTTTCAAGGTACAAGTTTGAAATGTGCCAACTACAGACAGAGCTTTATTGCTCTAAAATAAATTTCATATCAAATTATTATCCATATCCATTAATATGGATTTGATATGAAATAAGCAACACCATTCTGGAAGCTGAGCATGGGGCCTGAGTTATGCTGCTGTTGAGGGATCACATGGGAAAGGTTTTGCTCCTGGAAAAATAAACAATCTTATTTTTCCCCCCATTTTGGATGGCTTTGAAGAGAGCTTAATGGCTCTACACACATTTTCCTAAGCTTTACTTATCTAGAAGGGTACTTCACAAGTCCTGGATAAACACAGAGTTCTAGGCAAGAAAGGAGGAGGAGATCTCATGTGGAAATTTGTGGAGGAATTTATGGCTTTAACTTACAAATAGAGGCAATTCTTCCAGTATTCCACATGTATGTCCGTTCTTCACTTCTCCTCCTTCCCAATCCTCAACAACAAAACAAAAAACAACAGCTGGGCTTCATAGACATTGTGTAGAATTTAAAGGTCTGCCCAATAGATGTTTTAATGCAAACTTTTGATATGCTTCACATTTTATCTTTCAGTCCAAAGTCTGGCATAAGGTCTGGAAAGTCATTTCAAAAATGCTTGAAGAAAATGAAAGGTTCAGAAGTCGACTGTTGGCCTGCAGTCAGCTGGATGGAGAAGGTAGGAAATAAACTGATAGTCTTTTATTTTACTAGAAAAAACAAACTATTAATACAACTGGTTTGACTCAAGATCCCAAGGTTTAAGGTCCATTCAGCTGTTTGTTTTGGGTAGTAGGTTTTACAACTCACAAATGGAATTCATTGCATACTTTAGACACTTCCAGCCTTATTTGAAAAGCCCCTTATGTTTCATTGAGGGTCTTCTGTGCATTAATTTGGAGGAAGGATGGTGGAAGTGTTTGCTGCAATCTGACATTAAAGACATGAACATAAAACATCTGCAAGTTTTACTGAACATGTGAAATGTGTAACTGAACTTATTCACAGATCGGTCCAAGGCACTACTTGTGTGAATAACAATTTATTTTTCCACGTAGGAAAATAGCAGTTGGTTTCATACAGACAATAAATAAATGAGATGCTCCCCAAAGGCTGCTGTAACACAATTTAACATAACCATCGAACATGTTCTCACACTGTGCACTGAATTCAGCTCTTTCATTACTGGAAAATGACTTGGGAATTAAAACTGGTGCTGTGCATTGAGCCAACTTCAATTAGAGACATTGTAGTTGCTGCACAATTTAAGATAATACAGTGTATGCTTACAAATGGAATTGGAATTTCTGGCCTCACAGTCTGATGAATTTTTAGGAAAAAGAATATGCTAATCCATGAAGAGTTACCAGGCAAGTTACAAAATGACATGTTCACCCACAACACTTCTGCTTCGCTTGCATTTGTGTTGATGGAAGTTTTCCACATGGAGTTAGGGTATATCCCAAAATGTAGGCCAATTTCTGCCAGTATCTTATCTTGTAAAATGTTAGATTAGATTTCCACGTAGGTGACAAGAAAATACTCCCTCAAAAATTTTCTTCATGAGAACAAAAGAAGTGCAATTCTGGTTCAGAACAGAAATCTCTACCCCAGTGAATGTCCCCTGCAATCCAGGATGTTATTGGAACAGGAGAAGAAATTCCACAGTACTTTGATAATGTATTCTGCAATTATTTTGCAAATATTCTGCATTATGTGGAAAAGCATTTCTTTTGTTGGCTTTAAAACCAATTCCTGATTAATTGTGGAATTATGACATGCTGGGTGTTCATTATGTGCTATTCATATTCTTTATATCAGTTGAGATTCCATTGACCTCTGTCATATTTTTATGCTAAGAAGATCCAGTCTACTAAAATCTCTCCTTGTATGGAAACTGTTCCACATGCTTTCTCCTACAGCTTAGATCATTGCAGAAGTGTTTGTGCACAGCTATGAATGTATATGTTGGACAAAGACATATATGTAAGACACACAGATCTATGGATATGTAGGATAGTGAATTAAAAAAAAAAATCTTCCTGGACTTTTGTTTGTTTGCTATCAAGAAAAAGGAGAACAAGGGACAAGGAAAAGGAGGAGAAATCTTCAATGGTTTATTGCCTCAAACATTTCAAATTATTGTAAAAAAAAAATCCAAACCAAAATTCTGCTTATATATGACATCCTGGGTGGATTTACCATCTCACCATAATGGTTTCTCTGTTTTTTATGGATAAACAACGTGCTGCTTAAACTTGTATTTATGGACAGGGCCTGTTCCCTTCTCAGACATTCATTTCTTTTCTGAGGGAGAGCATTTTCTTTATAGATAATTTCCAGTGACTTAAAAAACCCCACCAACCAATCAACCAACCCTTTCCCCTCTCCACTTACTCTGTCCTTAATTGTAATTGTAATTGTAATTGTATCTCCTTTTTCTGGAGCTTCAGCTGAGAATCTACTATTAAGCCCTATTTAGGTGAAAAGCATCAAGTCTAATAACTTCTTTCTAATTAGCAGATTTTGCACAACATCAAATCTAGGAGATAATTCTCCTATTGATCTGAATTTTTCATTAATCAAGAAGCAAATGGAATCATACATTTAGATATGGATCAACAAATTTGAATAAAGTGGGTTCATTTTTATCTTTTTTTTTTTTTTCTGGGTTAATAACGCTTGGAAATTAATGTTGCATTTTACTGTCTATATAAATGGTTTTCTTGAGGACAAAAAAAAAAGTCTACTTGAATTCTGATGCTCCCTATTTACCCCTCGGAATGTTGCAATTAAGATTAGATTCAGTGTGACTGAAAATGATGATTTGCCTCCACATAATGTTCTCCTGCAGGCTCTGGTGTGAACCAAACTTCACAGGATGGGGCATACCTGGACAGGGTATGTATACAGTCCATTAACTGCCAAGCAAGCTTAAATACTAAAAGAAATAAATTAATATTAAAAGAGATGCATTGATCTTGTTTAATGTTATAATAATAATTGCCAGTTAGAAAATTAAGTATTATTGACATTGAACTCAATTTTTTTTCAAGATTTCAGTGGTGTTTGGGGACTAGAACAGCTCCATCCTCACAGGAAGGACTGTATGCTTTGCCAAGGTGGGGAGGTGGATTTTGTCCTATTATTGTGCTAAATCCTAAAGTAAAATCTGAGGAATCTGAATATTCTTTATTTGACACACTTTAAATGGAGACTTTTTTTCTATTGAAGGGAATGCACCACTTCACTTTTGTCACTTTTTTCTCCAGGAGGAGTCCATCTTTGGCTGGGTGTAGCAAGAAAATAAAGGAAGATTCAGTTGAAAAGGAAATGTGAAAGTAGTGAAAGCTCTTATTTTGATCTAGTTCTTCCTGAAGTCCATGGTGAGACTGCGACTTCAGTGAACACAGGTTCTCTGTTGTTTGGTTGGTGTTTGTGCTTCTGCTGTTTCAGAGGTTTGTTTTTATAGTGGCTTAAACAGCTCTGTTGCAAGATATTTATTTCAAGCCATTAAGTCTAGTGTTTCACTGAGCTATTATTTTTCGAAAGCTTTTTAATGAGCATAATATTGTGACAGTTTTCTTGCAAAAGAAAAGATACACATTTAGTGTTGTCTCTGTATTTTTATCTTTTATTTTTGTAGCTTGTCAGAATAATAAACAAACACAAATTCAGTAAGGCAGAACTCCAGACATGATAAAACCCTACTTTTTTTTCTTACTGATTTGAATAAATTTGACTTTCTTATATTAAAATATTACACAATAGCCCTCTCTGTTCATTCATCCATTTATACATGATTCTCAGCAAGTATTTTGAATATGAAACCAGGTGAATGTTTTCTGTGTTACTGTTCACTGTGAGGCACACAATGGTATCATCATAATCAGAAGGTGTTGTTTATCTATCTGACTTCAATAACACAATATAATGTTTTTGTGTTATGCAGTTTAGTACTTGAACTCTTGATAGACTGTTAAAGCCTTTTAAACCAGCAATTTGTGTAAATGGAACATGAAAGCTGCATAAAAATAGTTATGTATATGAATTTCATCTCTCGAGCTAAAACATTCACCTGTCACAATTAGACATCCTTAGTTTCAATAAAAGAATTGTTTTCTCATGGCATAATATCTTGGTGTTTACAGATATAAAGACTAGAATGTCAGAGTGTTGAGCTTTAACAACATGCTGGTGATTGTGTCATTAAGCAGTAAAGCATTTGGAAGGGTTTCATCTCTGCTTTTTAATAGTAAAACTGAAGGTGTATAACTGAATGTGCCTTTTTGAGGACAGCTCTGGCATCAAGGTTCTTTTCTGATTTGTGGTTGAGTAATATTCTGATTTTACTTAAAATAGTTGACATTTCAGCTTGGAAAAGGAAATGAGAAGGCAAAGTATTCAATCAAGATGTGATCATTTTTCTGGCAGAGCAAAAATGTCATAGTTCTTTGGTATTTTCAAAATACATGTTTGGAGTCACACATGGGGTTTCGGTGTTTGGTGTTTTTTTTTGACTAAATGAGATGGTTTCCCTGTCCCCACAGTTCTGTCAATGAAATATTTGTGTGGGGAGTTTATAATCCTGGTTTGTAAATTGGAGAGTTGTTGCTCTAATGTTTCTTTTCTTGTAAACCACAGCTGCAGATGGTACTTTTACTGGCACAGACTTAAGGGGCCTTGGAAACAGAGCTTTTCTTCCAGATGCATAATTGCTACTTTAACAGGATAGATGAGGTGCATTAACCTGAATCTCTGAATGAAGTTTAGCAAACACGTTAAGATTCTTTAGATAAACACAGACCTCTGTCTGCAGGACTATGCAAAACCATTTTAAAAGGAAGAAATTTTAAAAGATGGATATGGCCCTAGATCATCCCTATCCATTTACCTCTTGCAGTCTAAAAAGGTCTGTACAGTGATGATGATATAATTAATTGGTTTGGATCTATTAATTGAAAAGAACTTTCAGCTGGCAGTACTTTGAAAGGACTCTTACATTTCAAATCACTTTGGGCCACAAAAGCTGTTTGCAGCAGGGCAAAATGCTGATTCAGGTTCCATTTCTAACTTGTGCAATGAAATGCAGCTTTCTACTGTAGTGACCAGATTTGAAAGGTACAGCTGGGAACAAGGGGAGTCAGAGCAGTTAAACTGCTGAAAAAAGGGTCTGGAGAAGAACCCAGCTCAAGCTTTACAAACCAGACAGCCATCTCCATCCACCCAGACCCCTGGGCATTCTTTTTTTAATTCATGTGACCACTGAAGTGTAAACTGCAGAAGAAAAGTAATTGTAATGTTGCATTAAAATATTGTATATGGTCCAGGTAAGTAACATATTTGACAAGGAAAAAAACAGGTTGGTTTATACATGAAAAACTTTATTTAAGCCCTCTTTGTTAAAAGGAGTCAGAAATAAATAAGGGAACCTGAGGGCACTGGATCATATAGCAGAGATTCAGAAAACAACTGTTTCTCCTCTGAAGTCCTTAATCATCACTGCAGAACCAAAAGCAAGTGTCACATCATACTGTCCTGCTGTGGTTCCTGGGCAGCAATTGTTGTTCCTTCACATTCTTCAAAACACAGATCAGTCACCTGAAGTTTTTAATAACAAATCTCACTTGGAGTGTGAACTGAAGCAGATGTGCAAATACAGAGGTCACACTTCGTCTTTGCCTTGCTCTCAGTGCATAATTTACCTTTCTACAAGGAACACAAACTCTAGCTTATTCTAAAAGTTTGAAATTTTTTCATCTCAGCTCAGTGAACAGTTGCCAAGAGATCTGAGGAGGTTCCTTGTGGTACAGAGTGGGGAGGAAATAGCCAGGGCACACAGAGGAGCTGAAGGCATTGCTGCTGAATTCTTGTTATCCATAAACAATGGGGTAAGTCACTTGTCTCAAGGTCTAAAAGTTGCTCTGGATAAGTGCTTTTTTACCTGTGTTTCATAAATACAAATGACTCTGTATGAAGGTAAGCAATGGAGAATAAGGCCTTTGGGGTTTATATCCCTATTCCCTGCTAGTTAGAGATTTATTGGACACAGTTTAGCTGGAAATAGCACATCTTCTGGGCCTCAAATATTTTGGTTGAAGTTATCCCATTTGGGGAGTTCTTGCCAAAATGAGCTCCTCTGGTTCCTGGAGCACTTCTTGGCAGGTCAGCCCAGGCAACTCAGTCTTGGAGTTCTCTGTCCACTGTCACCAAGGACTGTCCAGGGCTTTTAGGCTTGAAACTCCAGCTGGTGTAAAGCTAAAAGCAAGGAAGTCCTGGGAGCTTGAACTCCATGCTGATTTCCATGTCTGGAAGTGGTAAGAGGCTGGGCTGAAGCAGGACTGCAGGAGCTCCTGCCCTCCCTGACATGGAGCTGTGACTTTGGGCAGGCTTCCCAGGGTGTCCTCAGCATCCAGGCTGCACGGGAGCCAGAGAGGCTTGGGAGCTCCCACAGCTACTGTGTGGAGCTGGTGTTTGCAGATGCTGCTGCTGTTGCCAGAGACTATGTCACTGATCAACCACAGGCTTGGGAACTAGGGAATTGTGTTTTGGAAGTGTTTGGATGTTTCTGAAGTGACCTTTCTGGGAATTTCCAGTTTGTGGGCATTTTCAAAAGGATTTGTTTCCTGCTTGATTTGGACCAAAGCCACCAATTCAGATAAAACCACATTTCCTGCAGACTGGAGGCTTGGCTTGCTGGGCAGTTCTTCTGCTCATGCCCCATCTGCTCTGGAGTTGGGATGAAACAGATTTCTCTGCCCCAACAGTTGAGGTTCTGCCATCCCATGACCACTGAGGTTATCATAACTTGGCCATTACAACGTATTCAATCACCAAGGATAATAATATTTCCCTGCTGATTCCTTCAATGAAAAGATTTCAACTCTTAAGCAAAATTGAGAACAGGATGTGGAGTTTCCAACATGGTCAGATTTTGAGAAAGTATAAAGTGACCTTTGTCTTCACTGAACATTTACATCCAGTAAATGTCTTTGTCTTTAGGGCCCTCTCTGGTAGTCAATGTTCATGTTTTAACTTCAAAGCTTCTAATACAATTTTGCATGGACTCTGACTAAAGAATAGCCTTCAGCAGGCAGTTGAATTCTAGTTTTCTTTTTTTGGGGGGGGAAGTGGCTGAAAGCGAACTTTGGGCTTATATGACATTTTGTGTGTGCAGTAGGTCCTTAAATATAAAGCAAAACTGGATGAAACTTTGATTTATAGCTCTTGTAAATAATTCTCAGTGACATGGGCAGGTTTGTGTATCATGTATATTTTTATTGCATAAGCACTTATATAACTGTGATGGTAGGAATTTGCATAAAACCCAAAGCAGCCATACTTGGAGGGGTTTAACATGGGCTTTCCAGCAAACTGAAGTATCAGGAGAGCCTATCACTTAAATGGAAGTTTACTTTAGGGGGAAAAGAGCAAATTTTATTGAAGTATATTAAAGCCACAGTGGATTTTTAATAAATAATCACAGGAAGTTTCTCATTTATTAGTGAAAGCATCAGGAGCCTCTGATCTGATGCAGAAAAATCCACGTTTGAAAGTTACTGCCTTGTGAAAATTAATGTGGGAAGCTGCACTTTCATTTTGTTGGAAGCAAAAGTTATGGAGGCCCCTAAGGAAAAAGGGAGGATGCCTTGATCCAGGGAGGATGAAGGTGCTGAGTGCTTTGACCTCCCATTGACTGTGGCACCTCTTTGGGCTCTGTCGTGTCTCTTGTGCTAAGCATATGGAGCAGATTAATGAGAGGATCTCCTCTTCTTCCACTAAATGTGGAACCCACACATGTGTCTCATCCCAGTGTCTCAGCTGAACTGTGGATGTTGTTGGGCTGCTTGTGAATATGTCTGATTTCTGTCATCTCCCAGAACTCATCTGTGCTCTGACTGTGAGATTTATTGCCTCCTGCATCCAGGAGGAATAGAGGCAGATCCAAAGAGCTGTGCAGGAAGGTTCAGTAAGGCACTAACAAATTCTCCTTCTCTTCCAGAATCTCTGTAATCTCTTGTATTCTGAAATGAATAATAAATTAACATGGCTTTTTCTTTTTTTCCCCCTGTTCTGCTCTATGATTATTTTCTTGTTCCTAATGAGCGTGTGACGGGAAGTCAGTGGTGCTGATGTAATTCTGTAAAATGGATGAGCTCCTCACAGCAAGGACTACGAGTAGTTAACCCCAGCTTAAAATGGACCTGATCACTTTTTACACCCCTGGATATTCTAAATTCCTTCAACTACATAGAAGGTGAAAAATTTTTACTATGATGTTAATTTGTCTGTGAAGTGATCTGGAAAAGAACATAAATGCTCTCCTCGCTTGACTTTTTTGTCCTAAACTAAGCCAAAAATGGGGGATGAGCAGTAAGGAGCAGTTTGGAACATGGACAAGGATCAGAGACTTTTCCTTTTACAGCTCTGCAGTTCCCCCAGGCAAACATTTTAGTGGCAGTAGTCTCACATTTTGGGTTTAGGTTGAGGTTGTGGTGAGATTCATTCCCATGTTGCTGTGCTCTGTCTAAAGTCACTTTCTCTCCACATCATGGTGTTTTCTCCAGGAAAATCTGAATTCTGACTGTATGTATTTATTAAGTCAGGGAATTAAGAGCAGGGTTGGATTTGGCTTAAACCATCTCCTGAACTTCTGTTCTGGTTTTCACTGTTATATTAGACTAATTTTTAAATGAATTACTGTGAATGTTTGAGGAACAAACAAGATTTTTGGGGTAGAATAGGCCAAGGTGGATGATGTTACTCCTAGAATTGCCCTACCTCAAGTATTGGGACTTCCTGAGACTTTGTTCTCACCTGGTGTCTTCAAGTTTTCTAGTTGCTCTTAGTAATTCCTACTTCCCGTTCACACATTTTCCAATTCTTTCACTGAAAGCCTGATACCAGTTTTTCAATATATCAAAACAGACAAAAATATTGTTTCTTGTAATAATGAACAGGAACATTATAGGGAAAAATGCATAGTGTGCAGGAAATGTATTTTATGAAGTGAGACTGAACATAAGAGTCTCATACATCAAGGAGCAGGTAAGTAAAATAATATTCATTAATGCTGAAGAGAAGTTGATTTATGTGTTCAGGCTTAGAGTGGGGAGAGGCTGAACTCCACTTTGACTGACATTTTGTTTACAATAGAATTGTAGAATTTACAATACAGTGAAATGTTGTACCCAAACTCTGTTACCCTCCATTCTTCCTGTGCTCAGCTTCACTCCCGAATTCACTACCTTCTCTCCCCCAGAGGCACAGGGGGACAGAGAATGGGGGCTGTGGTCAGCTTATCACCCTCTCCTTCCTTCTCAGGGGAGAACTCCTCCTTTCTTGCTCCAGTGTGTGCCCTTCCCATGGGATGCAGTCCTCCATGAACTCTAACGTGAGTCCTTCCTGCAGTTCTCCATAGACTGCTCCAGCATGGATCCCTCCATAGTTCAGGAGGGTTCAGGTACAGGCTGCTCCAGTCTGGGTC